GGCAGCCCCAGGAAGGAAGTCCCTCCCAGCCTCCAGGGGCTGGTGGTCTCTAAAACTCATGATCCCTCCTCAAGGTCTCTTACATAATCCTGAGCTCAAGCTGCAGTGGGAAATGCTGAAAGGTAGCACAAAAGAGTGAGGCAAGAGTCCACAACCAAGGCCCAAAGATGTCTAAGTGGAGAGCCTTAGTCACAGAGATCATGGTTAGGATCAGGGTTTGGATCAAGGTCAAAGTTAGGTGAAGTCTGTTTGTGAGGACTGATCATTCTCAGGTCTTGCTTTTGAGACCTTTGGTCTTCATGGGGCCAGCTAATGGCATGGTAGCTAACTAAGAAGGCTGAATCCCACATGCTGACTGAGCAGTTCAAATCCTGAACTTGATGGCTTAAAAAAACATGCTGGGTACGTTGTGTGTGCATGCCCAAAATCTCAAAAGGAGGGAAAAACAGGGGAGAAGCATGGGCAGTGACTGGGGTTTCCTTTAGGCCACAAAGGGACCAGCACCCCCATCACCCCAATATGGACTCTGCCTTTGGTTTGCTGTCTAAATCTTAGAGTCTCAGAATTTGGATCAGGCCTCAGGACACAGAACTGTCCCATCCATGCCTGTCCTTCTGGCACAAACACCAGGAATAACAAGGAAAAACTGGAGAAGGGGCAGCCCCTCAGTCAGAAGAAATAACCACAAGTTCAGTGAAATCGTGCAAAGAACAGCCAGGAATCCGCCAGTGCCATGACTCACATGATTTTCAGCTTTGGATTTTCCATGAGGATTTCTTTTCAACTTTAAAAAATTGGCCAGAGAGCCTGTGCACTCACCCGAGAGAGAAAGGTACAGAGCCAGAGACAGACAGACAGACATAGATAGAGTGAGGAAACATCCCCCATGGAGAATGGCATGCCAAAATGCCTTCTCCCCTGTTTTTCCCTCCTTTTGAGATTTTGGGCATGCACACACAACGTACCCAGCATGTTTTTTTAAGCCATCAAGTTCAGGATTTGAACTGCTCAGTCAGCATGTGGGATTCAGCCTTCTTAGCTACCATGCCATTAGCTGGCCCCACGAAGCTTTCTAACAACTACTCTTTGAAATGGACGCAATGATCATTTCCAGCTTTTTAGTCGAAGAAACCAAGAAACTGAGGCCCTGATAAGTTCAGAAGCTTGCCTAAAGCTACACTGGTGGATAATGGTGAAGCCAGAACTGGGCTTCAAGCCTATCTGATGTCAAAGCCCATGATTTCAACCACACGCACACCCCCACAAAGCAGGCAGCAGGAGGTGGCAGGGAAGTTTCAGTGGGTCTCCTAGTAAGTGTGAATTCTCCAGATACGAATTTGCTTTTTAAAATTATTCTTATTTTTTTAAAACATTCAAATAATAATCTAAAGAAAATGAAAGGCTATTTGCTGCTGCTGATGTGTATAGTAATGTCTCTGTCTTGACTGATATGCATGGCAATCATGCTGAAAAAAGAAACGTTATACACGGTAAAGTGTATATGTGATTAAATGTAATATAAAAGCAATAAATAAATAAATATAAAGATTATGGGGCTGGCAGGTTGCATGGTGGTTAAGGGCACTGGACTCCCACGTGGCTGACTGCGGTTTGAGACCTAGACCTAGAAGCTTGCTTTCTCACTTTCCCTCTTTCTCTCTGTCTCTCGCTCTCACTCTGTCCCTCTGGGAAAATTAAAATAAATGAATAAATAAAGTTAAGTAAAATAATTCTTAAAAAAAGATTTAAAAAATATGAATTTGTTACCGACATTTAAAATTTGGGAGATTTCTCATGAAAATTCAGACTTGGGGCTATGCTTGAAAATCAGAAGATCTGCTTACCATATGGGGGGCATGCCTTCCCATAAGTCAACAATAAGCTGCAACTGATTAGCAGCTGCCCGCCTAGGCGGGACTGCTCTCTGCAATTCCCCAGCTTCTTTATCTGGCTTCCTTCAGTCATTTTTGTTATGTGCTTAGCCTCTGTGTGCATTTGAGCTTGTGACCTCTGCGGGTAGAAGGCTTTTGTTAAAAAAAGAATTATTAATTTAAGTTACTACTATTATTATTATTTTAAAATTTGACCAGAGACACAAAGTGAGAGAGGGAAAATGAGCAAGCAAGCCTCCAGGTCCCAGACTCAAGCCGTGGTCAGTCACATGGGAATCCTGTGCCGTCACCATCATGCCACCTGCCGGACTCTAGAAGGCCTTTTTCTAAGTGTCACAAAGGCCCCAGATCCTGTGCCAAGGATAGAAGTCTGGACCCGGCACTTCTCAGACCAAACCAGGGTTCCCAGGAATTGCCTAGGAGGCCCCCAAATCCAAGGCTGGGTAGCTCTGCCTTTGACACTTCTGCGGCACAGTGGCATCTTGGTGAACAGACCAAGGGTAATATTGACTCTTCTTCCATGACACGGATCCACGGGACAACAGAGCTGGAAGAGCCCTTAGGAATCAGACAGTCTAACCCACATTCAGCTGAGGATATGCAGGACCCCAAGGAGGGCAGGACTGGCTTGAGTCACACAGACACCTGGTGGTGGAGCTGGGTCTGGACCTGGCCAGGGGCCATTTCTGTAGTTGCAGTAGGAGATCTTTCTTTCCAACTCTGTGTCACAACCAAGGGAAGGTGACACAGGAAACTGTCTCAGTTGCTAATTAGACTTCTTCTTCATTGCTCACTCCTGTTCTTCCAGTTCAGGCCTCCTTGCCCAAGTTCTGAATCTGGGGAGTTCCCTGAGCCCAGGAAATGCCTGTGAGGATGTGGGCTGTGGAAGGTGACTCCTGAGAGAAAGGCCAAAGCCATTCTCATGCCCTTCCTCTGCTCCAGGAAGGTGCATTTTTAGCAGGTGGAGCCAAGGACCCACTGTGAACCTGGCCCTCACTGCACTCGCGGGCTCAGCACCCTCCATTGAGCCAAGGTCTCCCATTGTGATGAAAAGAAAGAAGAGAGGGACCAGCAGTTAGCGTAATGGCTATGTCGCTGGACTCCCACGTAGTCGACCACGGTTCGAGTCACGGACCCAGTGACTTAAACTCACGCCGGGCGCGTGTGCGTGTGTGCCCAAGATCCCGAGAGGAGAATGGAGGAGAAGGGATTGCAGCGTGACCATCCCTCCTGGGGGGTGATTTCTCGTTTTCTGTCTCTCTATCTCTCTCTGTCTGTCTGGAGAGCACATGTGCCCTATAGCAAAAACTTCTAAA